CAACCTCAGTTCAATACTATAAGATTCATATACTTGGTCAACCTCAGCTCAATACCATAGGATTCACATACTGGTCAACCTCAGCTCAATATCATAGGATTCACATACTGGTCAACCTTAGCTCAATACCATGGGATTCACATACTGGTCAACCTCAGCTCAGTACCATAGGATTCACATACTGGTCAACCTCAGCTCAATACCATAGGATTCACATACTGGTCAACCTTAGCTCAATACCATGGGATTCACATACTGGTCAACCTTAGCTCAATACCATAGGATTCACATACTGGTCAACCTCAGCTCAATACCATAGGATTCACATACTGGTCAACCTTAGCTCAATACCATAGGATTCACATACTGGTTAACCTCAGCTCAATACCATGAGATTCACATACTGGTCAACCTCAGCTCAATACCAAGGAAACTTTTGCTATGCCTTTAAATGCAAGAATGGACAATCTACAAAATTTTGTTTCTTATTCCACTTGAGTTACAAAAAAAAGTTCCCATTAATTTCAGTATCTCTTTCATAGACCTTCTTAGCTGTTGCCTATTCCAAGCAACGCTCTCGCCTCTCCAGACATTTAATTTAGATTCAGTTACAATTAAATGACTCTGAAGAGGGGAGAGGGAGGTTTTAGGGGGCCCAGTTCTACTCTCCCAGATCAAGCAACAGCTCCTGAAAATCCCAGCTAGGACAGTGTAAGATTATGCACTAATGGGCTAAGAAACTTGGATCGAAAACAACTTTCCCACAATTGAATTCCACTTAACCAATACACCCAAACCCATAGTCTCTGGACTTTTTAGACCGAGTCAAAACTGCATGGTGAAGAAGTGCAAGTCAGAATGTTTTTTTCTATCGAAGAAATTGTTAAAAGGCCATCCCCAGCTCTTTTCCTTCTCTTACAGTGAAAAGGAAAAAAGAAATAAGAACAAAGTCACGACGGGAATTTACCTTTAATAACAACAGCCAGTGACCCAGGTTGGTGGGCCAATCTTATGGGTCTCAGTAACTGTAGTGAGGTGAATGGGAACCCCTCACACCCCAGTGCTGTGGCAGGCTAGTACCTAGACGGTTCACCCCATCACCACCTCCCTCCCTTGACTCTGTTCAGACAACACCTCCAAAGACTCAGCTGGATCCAAAGAGCTGACGAAGCTCTCCACAGGGCAGCTCTGAGCAGTATCCTGCACTCCTAAGGAACTGCATCAGGACAGGACGTTTTCTTTTGGAACACTGCTTAGATTCTGCTAGAACTGGGGCAAAGAAAGCAGAAAGTCTACTTGAAGGAAAACAAGGCCGCAGGCACAAACTGACTGAAGTCGCTTGGTTGGGGTTCCCTTACCTCTGCCGTCAGTCCATAGCCCTCCCAGCGTCCACAGCAGTATGAAGGCCACACTCTCTGAGACCCGAGGCCACGTCCCCAGGAAGAGAAGGAGCCCAAGTCTGCCACAACCAGGCTAACACCTGGGACTAGGCTCCTTCACCCGACAAGGAAGTACTTACTACCTGTGTCTGAACTTTTTAATCAGACGTGTCACCAATTACTTTTAATTACTATTGTGCACACTACTGTCATCTTCGTTTCATAAGTCCTCGAGTCTTAATCATGCCACCTGAAAGGGCACTTCTCTCCAAAACTTATCCATTGCGCCAAGTCTCAGGGATGGACCGAACTTAAACATCATTCTTTTGCTCTGCCGTTCTGCTCCCCAAATCCAAGTGGTACAGGTCGATGACCTCCAAATCAAAGACAGCCCAAAACCAAAATAGGAAATGGGGAAAGGGACTCAGTCCGGACTCTGGTCACTTTACACAACTTGATGTATTTCTAAAACCTGTTGTGCAAGTCAGAGGGGCACGGTGCGTGCAGAAGTCAGACCAGTTGATCCCAGTTTCTGGAGCAGCGAGCGGGGCGGGGGGGGGGGGGGGGGCCGGCGGGGATGACAACCACCCGGCAGCGGTTCTAGCCCTTGGGGGGCGAGCAAAGGTCCAGGATGCCGATTGGAGGCAGACAAGATTGCCCGGGTGCGGACACCCACCGCACCGCCAAGACTCTGCCTGTGACCACTGGGCCACCTGGGGACAGTTGCTACTCCCGCGCCCCACAGGGGTAAATATGGCGAGGAAGGGGATAGGCCACTTCCTTCACCTACTCGGACTTCTCGGAGGAAATTCTCCCACTCGCGCTTACCTGCTCGGTGGGATCCGGCTCCCGGCTTGCAGCGGTGCCCACAGCTCCAGGCCAGCGCGTAGGTCGGATCGGGCGCCCACGGTTCGCAGCGGGAACGGAATCGAGGACTGTGCGGGTGGAGCCCCGGTTCCCACCTGCAGCTTCTTTTAACCGCGCCCCACCCCGCCTCTGCCTGACGCTGCACGGGAGGGCTGCGGGAGAGGAGCGCGGGCACGCGAGGCGAAGCGCTTGACGAGGTGCACACCGCCCTCCCTCCGGGCCGGGGGCGAGGGGCGGATCACCTTCTGTGGAGCAGGGCGCAGAGGGGCCGTCCCTGTGGGACTAGGGGAGTAGGGCGGGTCCGTCTAAGGGGCCATAGATTAGAGGACTCAGATGAGACCCTTCTCTGGGGTCAGTGACCACGGCAAGTGCCCCTAGGAGAGGTACCAGCCTAAGCACCAGGTGCAAGATGGTCTTCTCTTGGGTTGGGGACACAAGGCAGGTCCCTTCTCGTGGATGTGGGTGGAGCGTGGACCGCGATGGGCAAGCTCAACCAGGTCCCGACAAGGGCAGGGAAGAGTTGCTCGCTGAAGTCTTGTTGGAGCTGGACACTGGAGGCTCCAGTAATGAGGTGAGGGCTGCCCAGAGCAACAAGGGAACAGGCTTTGGGTGAGTGGGCCCAGCGCCAGCAGCGAGTCTCTTCTGTTGGTAGCGGTGTTAGCAGGCAGCTGCCGAATTTTCATCTCCCTTTCTGGACCCTTTGGGCACCCTCTCCTCCAGCACAGCCCGGAGGTTCTTTATTCATTAATGACCACTTAGGAGTCACAAGTGTTGTTTTTATTAGTCACCAAATCCCTTAAAGTCTTCTCCAGGGAAGTGAAGGGGCTTTCCCTCTGGTCCGGTGTCACTGAGAGACCCCACTGTGTCTGCAGTCACAGACAGGGCAGGGAAAGGTGAGGGCAAGCACAGACGGTGGTGTGGGGGCTGTCGTACTGGAAATGGTGGAAGACATTTAGGGATCAGGTTTCACGGAGCTTGCCTTATCCTACATCAGATAAGAGATGTGACTTGATTATTGCACAGATTTGGTTGGTATTTATACTATTCCCACCGTAGCTATATTCTACTTGTTGGGTTATATTCTTTCCCCAAACAAGAATTAATAGGACTTCCTAAAATGTCTCTCCCAGGTCAGGGAAGTTGAGCCAACACTTTATGAAAACTCATCTTCTAAAATACAAGGTTCTCAGACTTTGGCCTGAATCGTGCAAACTGAGAGCATTTCGGCAGTCCCTGGAATGGCCCCGAAACCCAGGGATGGAGATAAACATGGGACAGCTGTAGGTTGCCCTGTTCCTCCCTGCCTCCCACAGCCTGGACACTACGCAGTTCCTTCTCCATCCCTCTGGAAGCAGGCGTTCCAGCAGCTCACCTGGGGCCACAGGTAAATAAGTACCGCCCCCCCCAAAAAAAGATTGTCAACCTCTTTGGAGATCATAACATTTAAGTTTTAAGTTCTTCTTTCTCCTTTCTTCATTCCTACAATAACAGGCACTTTGCACACAGTAGGCATGGGTCTGCAAGGATTTGTGCATTGCGTGGCAGAACTGAACCAACACAGCAGATAATCCTAGAAAACACCTTTGCCAGGACAGACCAGAGGAAGATGCTCCAGGACCACACAGGACAGAAGTTAGACAAAAGAGTGCAAGGGCTGCCTTATTGCACAGGTGTCCAAAGAGGAGCCCTTGCAACACAGAAAATTTTCTCCTCCTTCCTCCTCTTCTTCTTCTCCTTCCCTTTCTCCTTCTTCTTTTTGTTCAGATCTTCTATGCTGGCTCAGAGGCCTTTGATCTTGCCCCGTATTTCTTTATTGTTCAATCTCCGCTTCTCATCAGGGAGGCTTGTTGCAGCAGAAATTCATGTAGACCACATGAGCTCCCTGATTTGATGAGCTTCTCATTAGGAAACTGAAAAGACAGGCAATTAAACATGTGGTAAGGATACAAAGATGCCCTGAGTGGGGATGGATCTTGTGGATTTGTATGTCAGACAAGAAAACTTTCGGGAGACAGATACAATGTGACTACCATCTCAAAGCATCCTTCCACCATGAGAAAGGTCCTTGTAGACTTGGCTGTAACTGGGGACCTGAATTAATTTGATTACTCTCTTTCCTTGCGTTGCAATGGTGATCTCTAAGGCCCTAACATTAATGGGTACAAGACGCGTGAGGCGTGGATTCTGCAATATGAGATGAGAAGAGGTGAGCATGAGAGGCTCTTTTGAACCTTTCTCCCCTAAGTGCCCTCTTGTCCCTTTGCAAAAGGAGCAGAGGAGAATGCTCCCTCCATCTGGAAGCGGCGCATGTGCTCAGGGATGGAGTCCTGTTCCATTGCTCAGGTTTTCACTGTCCAGTCTGGAAACACAGGACCAGACTGTTTCCACTGGCGTAGTTCTCCGTGCCTGGAAGAGAGGATAAGATGTGTTCTTTGAAATAAAAGCTAACTTCTGTCTCTCCATTCAGCAAAAGGCCCATGTTGTATTTAGTAGACCGTCCCTCATTGGGGTTTGTCTGGTTCTGTGTGCAGGACTGTGTGGGGGTTAAGTACTTCGAGAGGATGTCCATGGAAAGAAAGAATTACTTTCACTACTTCGTATCAAAGGCACAGAACTGCAATGAACTGGCTCCTTACTGCTAATGCCCATCTCAGGCTTTGCCCTGCAAGGTCACTCTTTCCCTCTTCCACTGTTAGTGTTTGCAGATGACATTTGCCGGCTCTCCCGATCACGTCTGTATATCAGCACTCACTCGTGGGTATTTATTCTGCTCTGCGGGTTCCAACCCCATGCTATCTTCATTATTTTGATGTTCAGATTTTTTTCCACCTTTTCACCCACCTCCGGCTTCCCCTTTGCTGTGCACTCTTAACTGTGTGTTTATGTGCATGTTGCAGCTTTCTGTACATCACTACAAGATGCTACAGGCTGGGCCAGGCAGTGGTGGCACACACCTTTAATCCCAGCACTTGGGAGGCAGAGGCAGGCAGATCTCTGTGAGTTCGTGGCTGTGGGGGCCAGCCATTATAAGCTAAGTCTGGGCAGGTCACCCAAAGGAAGTTCTTTACTTTCAACCATTATCACCTGCCAGAGTAGAACTCGGCCCTCCATAAATTTAATAAGAGACCTGAGTCTCAGTTTACCCTGAAGCAGTACCTGGTAGCAGGAAAGAACCACAAACTGAGATAACCTGACCCCCACCCAAGAACAGACCATTCAATGGAAATGCCTGGCATTCCAAGCGCTGTAGCTAGAAACACCTGCCACTGCACACTCACCAGGATACCCCTAGACAAATGTCAGCCAATCAGGAGTCCTGAACCTCAGAGACCCCCTCACCCCCACCTTTACTATTATAAAAACTCAATTCTAACTGAGCTTGGGGCTCTCTGGTTATTCCAATACGTTGGGCATGCAGAGAGACTGAGTCTACAAACTTGATTAAAATAAAGGCCCTTTGCTTTTACATATGAGACTAGGCTTCCGTATTGGCTTGCGGGGGATTGCGCGGATTTGGGCATAACAGTGGCCAGCCTGGTCTACAAGAACTAGCTCCAGGACAGGCTCCAAAGCATCAGAGAAACCCTGTCTCAAAAAACCAAAAGGAAAGAAAGAAAAGAAAAACGATGCTGCAGGCTCCCCTTGCATACTCCTGGCTCCAGTCCTGGAGTCAGCCATTGCCCCAGGAGTTGTGTCCCTTTACTGGAGATCCACCGGTTGATGCATGCTTGCTTAGTCACTGCTGGTCTTCCTGCTGCTCCGGGATATCCTGCTGATGCATCCTCTGGCTCTCCATAACCCCCACACAAGCTCAAGCGCTGGGTTTGGTGTGCTCTGGGACCCCAGCTGGTGTTTGTCAAGTGAATCCACTCAGGAAGTGTTTATTGGACTGGGGGTGTAACTCGGCGTGGTAGAGTCACCGAGAATACAGGAAGCCCTGGGTTTGATCCCCTACACAGCCTAAGCCAGGTGTGGTAGTGGGCACCTGTAACTCCAGCACTCAACAGTTGAGGCAAGAGGATAAGAAAAGGGTATCCTCCGTGACACAGTAAGTTCAAGACCAGCCTGAGTTATTTGACACTTAGTTGCAAACATCAGGAGAATCCATGTTGTTAAAAACGAGGGAAAGAGTCGTCCTAGCACATCTGACCTTCAGGCAGGTGCCTCGTGCTGCCCGGTGGCAGCTAGCACGTAACACCGCTTTCTGTAAAAATGGTTTGGCCTGACAGTGAAGTTGCAGGGTAGAAGGGTGTCCAATGCAGAGGCGGTCCCCTCCTCATCTGTTGACAGGCTTCTACAGAGAAGCACAGGGGACATCATTACGGTTCTTTACTCTCCAGGCCCATGCTCAGCAAGGCTTACATCCTAGGCCACAAGGCCAGGGCATTTTCTGTCGGAAGTGTGTCTGCTAGGCCGTGGCCATACATGGCCTGCTGTTGAGCCTAGAGAGAAGGCCACACACGCTGGGGGATCTGAAGGTTATTTCCACCTGACATCCTGATACGCTGGCCTTCCGGGTAAGTGATCTGAAATGTCAACATGTAGAACTTCTGAACTCTCCATCTCTGGTTTCCTGCTGCCTACAGCTCTAGTTTGAAAACATCTCACACTCTACCATGCAGGGACCACGAGGGAGTGCTACTTACTGCCTGCTTTCTTATACATCCCAGGACCACCTACCTACCCACGGTGGTGCCATCCACAGTGAGCTGGACCCTCCCACATCAATCATTAATTAAGAAAATGCCACACAGGCTTGCCTACAGGCCAGTCTGATGGAGGCAGTTCTTCAGTGGAGGTTCCCTTTCTCCAGATGCTTGTCATTGGTGTCAAGTTGACAAAAACTAACCAACACAGGTTATAAGATTCTTCCACCACATTTTATGGAGATCATTTTTCTGATTTTATTTGCTTTTTAAATGGACTCTTAAAAAGTGTCTCCAGCATTTCTTTAATAATTTAGCCAGAAACTTCTTTGGGGTGCTTCCATAGCAGGACAAAACTCATTTCAGAGTAAGACTAACCGAGCCTGAAATCCACATCCGGGTGATTTACTAAAATATTTTCACTGTGGTCGTGGAAGACCACACATCACACAAGATAAGATCACACACACATAACCACGTCACACAAGACTATCACACAGAACTATTTCACAATATAAAGGCAAACAAGATGGAAATGGTTTCAAGTTTTATTCTCAGGAGACCAGAAAGGGATGGAAAGACAGGGGACCATGTTTCAGCTGGGGTGGCTAAAATGGGGGCAACGGGGAGAGTCTGATGTGTGCTGGTGACAGTGAGCAGACAGGCTGGCCTGCTTAGAGTGGAGGCTTGTGCTGGGAATAAAAGAGCACAGTGGTCAGGGGTGTGAGGCTCACCTGGGAGCGATGTTGAGCATAGGACGTGAGACAGGGACAGACTGAATTGAAGAACTTAATGAAGGCTGTACCTAAGAGCTAACGTGCTATGGTTGCATGCAATGGCGTAAATGGTCCCTTTGAAATGACCATGCCAGAATCATCATCATCATTACCTTCTTCT